ATCCTAGAAACAGCCCTGACCTTCCTTTTTCACAGGTTAATTCTGTAGTTTTGGGGAGTATGTTCATCTATACGCCTGTTGATGCCACAGCCTCTGAGAGAGGAACATGTCTCCACCATCAGATGTGCTTGCTGTGAACAAATCCAGCAAAGATGGGGTCTTTCTAGAGCTGGAGAGAGGGCTCCTTTGGTCAAGTACTTGCCTTGTAAGCATGAGGACCAGAGTTCTAGCTCCAGAACCCACACAGGATAATCTGAGTGTGGTATGCTGCAATCTCAGCCCCAGGGAGCCTCGGATCTTGCTGGCTAATCAACATCACCTATTTGACAAGCTGGAGACCTTATTTCAAAATCAAAAGATGGATGGATCCTCAGTAACAACACTCAAGATTGTCTTCTGGCTTTCACTTACATGCACGCACACACTCACACAGGCACACGCGAACACATGCACACAAGAATGGAGTTTTCCCTAGGGATAACTAGCACATGGCTGTGGACAAGTGACTTGACCTCTCTCTGCCTCATTTAGTCTTCTGGACAGTGAGATGTTTTCAGCATCCACTGACCAGGAAGACATGGCCCAGGAGACAAGCTGGTGGGAACCAGAACGCTGGCTCCCGGGCTCCCGAGTTCCTGGTTGGAAGGTAGGGGTGTCTAGCTTTCAGTAGGGCTGGGAAAAGATTTGGGCGTAATGGGAGCAGGGCTCTTGCCCATAGGGCCTCAGGTGGAGGCTGGGTAGGCCCACAGACATCCTCTGCAGAACTTTGATCCAGAGCAAGGACAGGGCTGGCTTCAGTTGTCTTTGAAGCAGCGGGAAGATCAATCCTCCTTCTTATCTCAGCCTCTGCATAGTGCAGTGTGTCATGTGCTGCTGCAGGCCAAGAAACTCGGAGCAGAGCGGGCAGCACCCAACCAGCCCTGCCCTGCCTCCCTGCCACCCCTGGGGCCGGGGGCATGTGTGGTATTTGCCACTTTCTGACCTCCGCTTGGATCAGTGCCAGACACAAGGAGGAGAAGGTAATGAATGCTAAGTGCCAAGAAACTAGGTCCTCTGAGAGTCTCCTGTCAGCCCCCTCCCGCCCCCGCCTCGCCCAGGCACTCCCTCTCTTCTCTTCAAAGGCTGCTTTCAAACCTCACCTTTTGCTGAGATCTAAAGATGCTAGGCCAGGAGGCAGGAGACTGGATTCTAGTTACAGGTCTGCCTTTGATAGGCTGTGCGACCTTGAGCAAGTTACTGCCCTTCTCTGGGGTTTCTTTTCTCCATTCAGTACAGTTGCTGTGAATGCTTTAGGACCCAGTTTAAAACTCCAAGGTCCAGGCCAGCCTGCGGACACGGTTGGGGCTCAGGGTAGGTTTGGGCTGTAGAACTGTCTTCCTCTGATGCTGCTGTAGAGTAATTGCCCCTGTAATCTTGACCTCCCTGGCTCCTTCGTGTCTCCACGGAACAGTTTCCTGCATAATCTCCCTAGTGCAGAGGGCTGTTCCACAGGCTAGGCTGCACCCCAAATCTGTAGGCTCTGTCCTTTGGGGAATGGCAGGAACATTTCTCATCAGCACTGCCTCTAGCTGGTTCAGGGACTGTGGACCGGAGGTTTACAGGATCACTGTGTCCTGAAAGGCTAGGGAGAGAATGTGAAGAAGGGAACAGGCAGGTGGGGAGGCGCTGGGTGTCAGGAGGGGAAGGACAAATGTCTTTCCACGGACATGGGTGTGGTGGGGTTTTTCACTCTCCAAGCTGCAGAGGGAAAGCATTTCAAACTCAGATCAAGCCAGGTCCCCTGCTTACCTCCTGTCTCTCAGACAGACCCCATGGATGGCTGAGAGTCCCGGCAACACAGTTGCTGTGTATGGGCAATGGGGTGATCTCAGTATCCACTGAGCAGGCCTTGGCTTGAGACGAGCTACATGAAGACAAGACTGATGGGAATTAGAACCCCAGGTCCCGGGAGCTGCTGAGTCCCTAGTGGGAAGGTGGGGACTTTAGAGCTTGTGGTGAAGCTTGATAGGTCTCCTTAGGTCAGAGAAGTACTCTCCCAAAGCTGCCCAGGGTGTGAAGAGTAGAATATTTCCAGAAGAAAGGAAAAGAATGGAGAATGAAGCAGGAAAGAAATATCTCCCTTGCCTAAGCTTCTGCAATGTGCCAAAGTGAGCCAGGACAGTTCTGGAAATTTCTCTTTGCCTTCAGGCCCCCAAGGTGTCATTGTTGACCTTCAGCATCCTCCTTCACCTATCCCAGCCACAGCACAGTAGTCCTGGGATCTCTTTGCTGTGTCCCTCAGGAGCCCTTCTCCTGCCCACTCCCTCCTTGGCCACTTAGGGAAGACAACCTCTTTTGGAAATTGCCACCATGACCATCAAGGTCCAGAGGTGCTGTCCTTGTAAAGGGCACATTGTGGGGGTACCTGTGAGTAATTGCATGTTGAGCGTGTGCACACGCAAATGTGGTATGTGGGCATGCCATGGGCATGTATGCTGGACACGCTGTGGAGTGCAAGCTGTCTGTGGAGGGAAGTGTCTGTCTGGGGGAATGTGGAAGTGCAGGCACGTTGCGGTGTGTGATGCACAGGTTGTCTGTGGCTCTGAAGATGCTGAGGTGTGAAGAGGAAGCAGAGTGTCCTGACTTTTAGGGGTGCTCCTACATTTGCAGAATGCCACAAAGTGATAGAATGCCCAAGGCCAGTGTGTTTGGATTTCTGTGAGCTCCTGGGTACATCAGCTACCCTTTGCTTGCAGGGCTTCCGGCTGGCTCCAGCCTTTGGCCTCCTATGTACTGGAATGGGAGCTGAGCCCTTGATCATAGAGCCTATCCGAGGCCAAGGGCCAGCAGCAGCCTCAGCAACCCCCTAGCTGGTCCAGCGTTCCTTGTTGTCCCCCATCCAGGTAGCCACGGACAGGCTGGAAATCTCACAAGTTTCCTGACGGGGTTCAAGATTTGCTTCAGTGTGTTCTAGAACACACACTACCCCCAAAGAGCCGCTGCTTACTGCGTGCTTGGGGTGTGGTAGGGCACAGTGCTGTGGGCACAGTGCTGTGGGCTGAATGGATATGACTTACACCACACAGCAAATCGCCCTGGACCATATGACAAGCAAATTCTAAGACTAGAGTGTGCGTCCCATTGTAAGACCCTGAACCTGGAGCATGTCTCTCCATGTTCTGATCTACAGATTGTCTTAGGGAAGGGAAGGGAGCCCGTTTCCTCTAAGGCCCACTTACTAAACAAAAAAAAGCTTGTTGGGTAATAGCTATCATCTTGAAAGAGTTCACCTTTATACCCTCGATTTAAGATCCAGCACTCCCTGGCAGAGAAAATAAAAGAGGAAAACGGAAGGGTCCTTTCCTGGAGGAGGCCTCTGCAGCAGATGAGCAGACAGACTGAGCTTGCATGGCAGGAGAGAGTCATGCCTGGCCGGCATGTGCGTCTCCCTTGGCCCATTCCTATGGCTTCCATGGAACCCCAACTTGCATGCCCAGGACACCAGGGAAATGGCCAGCGAGGAGGTCACTGTTGCTTCTAGATACACATCATTGCTCTTGCCTGCACTGAGAGGCTCAGCTCATTCCCTTCTCTACCAGATTTAAGTTGCAGGGAAAATGCATTATTTTTTCATTAAAAATTTATTTTGGAATGGATAGCCTTCAGAGATGTAATTAGCCACGTTATTTCCCTCCATTAGCTGTCCCTAGTGTTCTCAGGAATGTCTTGTCCTTTTTCCTCTCCATTTCACTCTTTCCATTCTTGTTACAATTTGGGTTGCAGCATCCACCACCCCACCCCCAACCCCATCATTACCACGTGCAACTTCCAGAGGAATGTGATAACTTCCCTCCCCATGGGGCTGTGGGAGCAAAGTCCTCTGAGACGGCGGCAGGGGATTCAAAGAATTTGTCACCCCAACTTGCTTTTATCTGGAATGGTTCCTGTGGGTCATTTTTAGTGTCTGTAGTAGGCAGTAGGCTGGCAGGTGGGCTCCCCAAGAACTGGCTGGTGACCCAAAATACAACAAATCACTCCTAGGCACCCCAAGTCGTACAGTAGATTCACAATGCGGATGGGTTGTTCTGGTTCTGGGGAGACTCCAACAATCTCAGTGCTCAGAAGAGCTGCCGCCCGCTCCACCCTCGCCCCTGTTCCTATCACACAGGTGACACATGACATGCAGCCGTCTCCAGCACTGTCAGAAATACCCCGCTCTGTGGGAGTGAGGGCAGAAAGCCTGACACCCAAAATCTAAACTTATCCTGGCTCTCCACAAAGAGGGGCGAAGAGAAAAGTACAGTAAGACATCTTCGGTGTGCATGACTTACATGGAGAACTCGATCGTCCCAGACCCCGAGGGTCCGCCCTGGGACGTACACTCTGAAGGGGCAGGTACCATTCACAGAGAACCAGCTGAGCGGCATTTCAGAATTGTGTCACGTGGCATTGGCGTGAAGGGAATGCCAGCCACCTCGGTTCCTTACGTTGACCTCACTGCTTTTTCGGTCTTAGGTTCCTGGATATGAGCAGAAGAACAGAAACTGGCAAGTTTGTGGGATTTCTGAACATGGGCACAGATGTCACTACAAGCCTCATGGAGTCAGGTGGCATCTTGACTAAGTCTTGATCACGGTGATTTTCATGAACAAAGCCCTGGGCATAGGGAACAGCCGCGGTGAAGCCGGAGGTGCGGTGAGAACCGGTGGCTGGTGCCACAGTGCTTGCCAGCCACACGGGGCTCTTGACAGACACCCACTGCTTCATTTATCTCCTTCAGGCCCAACAGGCATTACCATCCCCCACCTCCCCCCAGGCGCCCGGAGGATACCGAGATTCATACAGGGTAAGAGGAGAGAGTGTCAAACAAACGACTTCTGTCCCGCCTCCCGGGAGGAGTCTCTTTGTGTGGAAGATGGCAAATGGTACAACAATGCCTGCTGCCAGGAGCAGCAGGCTCGGAGTGTCAACCCACTCCACGGCTGGCAGGTGTCGCCAAGAAACACACAAGTCACCCAGCACCAGATGGAATCACGCTTTAGTCACACGGAGAAGAGACGGAGCAAGAGCTATTTCAATAGCGGGTGTCTGTCCCCCTGAGACCAGGGGTCTCTGTCGGCCACGAACCCAGGATGATGGCCTTCACAAAGCAGCCTTCGTGCTGCAGGGAAAGGCCTCCTTCCCTCTCCACCTGGAAGAGATCTCGCAGGGCGGGCTGGCTAGGAGCCACATGACGCACAAGCTTAAGCAGAACAAAGGAGCACACTTCGAGCCTGCAACAGGGGAAGGGTGGTTGCGGGAACGTGATGAGCTCCACTCAGCCTCAGTGTACCTTATCTCCTGGAAAGAAAGGGTTGCAGGCCCAGGCCACTTTCCTGAAGCTAAGCAGGAGTCAAAGGCTGCTTGTACCCGGTCAGTATGCCCCACTGCTGGGACCAAGGTCAAGTTGTTGGTGAAGCTGCCTCTGGATTTGGACAAAGGTCTCCCTGGCACCACAACCCAAGAGCTTTCTTACCTGAGCTCAGTCGCTCCTCCCCAAACCCAGGTAACACGGTCTGTGTATGCTGACACACACCTACATTCCCTGTGCTGGGGGTGGGGGGCAGAGACAGGCAGACGCCTGGGCTTGCTGGCCAGTAAGCCCAGGCTGCTTACAGAATTCCAGGTCAATGACATACTATTTCAAAGCAAAACAAAAAACAACAGCAAAAAATAAGAGGTGAAAAGTCTGAAATGTCTGAAGGTGAGAGTACCCTGACCCCTGGAAGGCCCCCCCTCTCCTCACCAACACAGCCCACCAGCTAACAGATTCCTAAGGGAAAGGATGGCTTAGGTGAGCATTTGTAATCCTGACCTCAAGAATGGCATTTCAGAAAATGTGGCTCTCGTGCCCTGAAGCATCTCCATGCACAGAGGTTTAAAGCAGAAAGCTGGATTCCAGAGAGAGAGGGGAGAGAGAGGAGAAAGAGAGTGAGGAGAGAGAAAGGAGAGAGTGAGGAGAGAGAAAGGAGAGAGAGAGAAAGAGAGAAAGGAGAGAGAGAGAGAGAAGAGAGATGCATAAAAGAAAAAATAATAACCTGGCATCCAATTTTTTTTTCAATTATGTACAAAAATGGACGCAAGGCCTGTTTAGCCCCGGGAGATGTGACGTGCTGGTAAGACTGCAAAGGATACTGGAGAGATGGCTCAGCAGTCCAGTGGGATTCGGATCCCAGCACCCACGTAACAAGCTGTGCTTCTGGGGCACACCTGTAACCCCAGCTCTGAAGTGGAGGAGAAAGAGCTGGGGTTTACTGGCTTTTAGGCTAAGGGAGAAAGTGGGAGCCCCAGGTTTAAGGAGAGAGCCTCCCTTAAGGGAATAGATGGGTGGTGATAGAGGACCTCCCATGCCTTATTCTGTCTCTGTGCATACATACACTATTGTGTGCGCATGTGTACACACACACACACACATACACACACACACACACACACACACACACACACACACGTGCGCGCGCATGTACGTGCATGCGTGCATGAGCATACACTCACATACATGAATAAATACATTGTTTTGAAAGTATCTGAAAAGAAGGTGTGGGTCAGATTCAGGCCCTTTGTGCCCTGTGCAGATCCTTGGACTCTGTTTGAATACTAAACCCCTGCATTGTTTCTCCGAGGTTTCAGTAACATGAGTAGACTGGGCTGGCTAATTTGAAGAGTTATGTCCCAGCATTTGCACCCAGGGAGCCGAAGGTTAAAGGAAGTTCAGCAGATGATCTATGTCCACCACACTCATTTTAGAAACCAAGTTGCATTTTGCATTCAGATCGTTCCAACTCTTCTCTGCCCAGTCCCCCTCTTCTCAGGGAAGCTTGCAGTTAATTCTACGCAATGTGCATTGCTAATGTGGAGGAACAGAGGCATCCGTCATCCTTGTGCTCCCTCGGAACGCCCACGCTGTGTCTCCTGCTCCCCGCATTTGACTTGGAAACCTCACAGACCTCCAAAGGAAGCTGCTCTGATGTGCAAGGAGTTGATTCCTATTCCACTCAGTCCCTGCTGGTGCTGCCCACCTCTCCAGCTCTGTGAAGACTTGGGGCAGCAGGCTAAGGTGAAGAGGCCCTCGGTATCTTCCTATATATGGTTAGGAAGCAGAGGGAGGGAAGGATGGGTGCTGGGCTTGCAGAGTCTTCCTGTGGTGCCTCCAGCCAGTAGAATAGTAGCAAGCAAGAAGACAATGAATTGTGTCCACCCAAGACTTCCATCTGGACAATTCAGTTAATAAGGCTACAAAGGCAGGGCTTGATTGTGTTTTGTTTTCATGGCTGGGGAATCCAGGAGATCGGTAGCATCCACATTTGAGGTCAGACTCCAACTTCCACCCTGGATCTCCTGACTGCAAATTGTGTAATCTGTGTTTGTGTAATGGCTGAAAGTGCTTTCCTGTCAGAATGGACCTAAACAGAAAGGCAAGCAATGTCAGAGGTAGAGAGCATGACTGTGGAGCCAAGAGGCACCACTGATTCAGATCCGATTGAAGCAGCATTTACCAGGCACCAGGGGGCATCAGAGGAGTGAACACAAAATAATGACGTGACCCTGTCTAAAGGAAATCGGGGTGAGAGGGGAGAGGGACGTGTGCAAGGCACAGAAATCGGTGGGAAATCCAAGAGGGTGTCGGCCATTCTGCTTGTTTGTTTCCTTTGAGACAGGGATTCTCTGTGTAGCCCTGGCTGTCCTAGAACTCACTCTGTGGACCAGGCTAGCCTGGAACCCGCCTCTGCCTCCTGGGTGCTGGGGTTAAAGGTGCTCGCCATCACACTTGGCAGTATCAGTTATTCTTATTCCATTAAATCATTTATTCAGTTGGTAGTCACACCAACTGTCTTAGTTCCGTCAAGACCATGCTCTGGGTATACAGGTAAATAAAACAGAGGGTTGGAGCTGTGACTCGGTGGATGAAGTGCTGGCTGTGCAGCACAGTGCCCTGAGTTTGGGTCTCCAGCACAGCTGTGTGCATCTGTAACCTCAGGGCTGGGGACAGACACAGGTGGTGGATCCCTGGATCTCACTGACCAGCCAGTCTAGCCAGGTTGAGTGAGAAACCTGCTTCAGAAAATAAGGTGCAGAGACTGAAGAGAACACCCCAGGCCAACCTCTGGTGTCCAGAAGTGCAACACACACACACACACACACACACACACACACACACACACACACACACCACATCATACCTACACAATACACACAACACACACATACACACTATATCCACAATACACACATACACACATACCACACACACATCATACATGCACACCACATCCATGCACATACCACACACAGACCACACACTACACACATACACACACCATACCCACATACCACACACACATAACACACAATACACACACAGCACACACATACATACCACACACACATAACACCCATATACCACACATATGCACACCATATACATTTACCCCCCCCCACACACACCACGCAATACATCACACAGTACATAACACACACACACACACACACACACACACACACACACACACACCAGGAACCACTATTCAAATGCTAAACCTTAGCCCCCTAAATAAACTTAAAAAAATCCACTCCTGGCCTCCAGAACAGCCACACTGATTTGGTGTTTTGTAAAGTCCTCCCTATACCTGAGGCTCTGACTGTAGTTACCACTTGCCTCTGGTACCCGTCTGGTAAAACAACAGATGAAGAGCCAGCGACATGGAGAAGGGACTTGTGGCCCACCTCTTTCAGGAAGGCTACCCTGGCTGGTCCAACCCACCGGATCCTGGTACTCTCTTAACCCAACCTCCAGAGCAGAGCCTGTGTGCGCTGTAATTTTGGGGGGTGACCAGTAGGTTTGTTCCTTTGACTTCTGTGAGTCTTCCAAGGCCATTGTGATGAGGGTTCCGGGCCCTTGTGACACACCTGGCTGGATCTGTTCAAGTGGGGAAGCCAAGAGAGGCTCTGTTCCTTTAGGGAATGCAAGGAAGATCCCCTTCCCTGGCTCCCTCAGCATCACTAGGGCTCCCCAGGAGATCTGGACACAGGCAACTCCAAAGACAGCTGAAGGGAACCATGACCACCCTTTCTCCGGAAAACAGCCTCTCTGCAAGGCAGTCAGCCACCTTCATCCTGGTATGTTCTTTGATTTCTTTTGAGGGAGGGTCTCACTGTGCTGCCCAGCCTGGCCTTGACTTGGGATCCGTTGGCCTCAGCCTTCTGAGTGCTGGATTACAAGTATATGCCACCAGACCTAACTGACACGTGTTCTTCATCAGTCCCAGGTGCCTCCCCCTCCCCGACCTCTGGTTTACACTGGGGCTCTTGGTCCCTGCTGAGTGGGAAGGCTGGGCATGCAAGGTGGAGCAAGGCTAGCTGTACTCTGGTCTCACCATCAACCCAACCACAGAACAGATACCTACATCCCTTTTTACCTTATTGGCAGATCTTAGAACCCAGCATGGCTTCCTCCCCAAAGGTGATATTCTAAATTTTCTGCGTTTCTTAGAGTTGCGCAGACATTGATGAGTTTTCTTCGGTGCTTTTTGCCAACAATTTTGGTATATTGCCACCAGGTGGCAGTAGTGCTTCTGTTACTGGGTCCCAAGCACAGTTAATAAACAATTCCTTAATCCCCTTGAGCCATGAAAATTTTCCATGCACTATTTTTCAAAATCATAACTAATTATTATGACCTTAACCAATCTCAAGATCCATTTATCATGTGATTAACAGAATGATACATTGAAAATTCAAAATGAGCACCTGAAATTTAAATGTTATGATTTTATTGCCTGTGATCACCAAGCCTTGAATATTCTGTTTCTTCTGTTCTTCAAACTTAGAGAAGGCTAATAATAATAATAATGAATAAGCTGCCATACAGCAGTTGGTGTGTACAAATGACGTTGTAAATGTTTTGTTTATAGTCGTTCCTTCTCCTCCCAGCCCTCTGAGATGGGATGTGATGGGGGCTATTATCTTTTGATGAGTGAGAAAATGGATCCTAGAGACTTAGCATCCTGACAATCAGGTATCCAGTCAGTGACAGAGCTTCTCTCCAGACCCAGGCTGTGGGCTGACAAGTCCGTCTCATCAACTCACGAACTCCCAAGTGTGGAGCTGATTGCCAGCATCAGGGAGAACTTGCTTCCCAAGGGCAGAGCAGTGTTAAAGTTCCCTGCACCTTCTTGTGCCCCATGTCTCATGGCCCTGTAGATGAAGCATGTGTGAGTTATCAAGAAAAGGATTTTCAGGCTAGGGGGATGGCTCAGTACTAAACATGAAGACTGGAGTTCATATCCCAGAAGTCATGTGAAATGTTGGGTGGGTGTGATGTAATTCCAGCCTCAGAAGGCAGAGACAGGGGATCTCCAGACCAAGCTGACTAGATCTAGCCATATCAGTGAGCTCTATTTTTGAGTGAGAGACCCTGACTCACTGAACAAGGTGGAAGGACAATCAAAGATGGCTCCCGGCATCAACCTCAGGCTTCCACGGGCATTCATACACATGTGCTCACATATGTGCCAATACACACACACACACACACACACACACACACCACCACCACCACCACCAACAACAACAACAACAAAAAGGGAGCTCTCAAGCCCACCTGATATGCAGGTAGTGAAGCTGCCCCACCTGCAGTCAGTGAGGCGGCTGCTACTTTTGGTGTCAAAGGTTTTTCTACTGCCTGAAGCCTGGCTCCTCTCTCAGTCTGTGAACCACAGCATCAGTTGCCCAGGAAACTGCATCTCTGTAGGCTGTTCCCCAAACTTTCTGAACCAGAAGAACCTCAATGACTTGTATACAATTTTAATTTAGAGTCCTGTGTTTACGCATTCAGGTATTAAGAGAAAGATGAGGACACCTCTGGCCAGCTGTTGGGTTCTGTCCATCAGCACATCTCTCTCTCCGATGTGCCACTTCAAGGTCCCCTTCTCTTCAGCAGGAAAGGATGCTCACCCCACAGCCTCACTCTTAGTTGTCATTTTATAAACACTTGGCAGGCATTGTACTCACCACTCACACACGAGTATATGGCACAGAAGTGTGCACACCACACACAGACACAGACAGACAGACAGACAGACAGACAGACACACACACACACACACACACACATCTCCTCATTTAAATGGTCCTGTGGCAGGCTGTTTTACATTTTCAGGGAAGATAAAGTAGAGCACAAGAATTGTTTAATTTGTGCTTATCTTATATCTTTCCATTATCAAGGCAGCACAATCACAGAAAAACATAAAATACATGAAAAAGGAAATAATATTTCTATTTCCCCAGGTTACTCAAAGATAACCACTGTAGCTTTTTGTTTTATTTTGAGACAGGGCCCTGTGCATCCCAGGTTAGCCTCAAATTCACTGCATAGCTGAAAATAACCTTGAACTTGTGGGCCTCCTGCCCCCACAGGTGTGTGTCATCATGCCCAGTCTGTGGTGCTGGGGATCAAACCGGAGTCCAGTGTGCTAGGCAAGCACTCTGCCAACTGAGCCACATCCTCATCGCCAATCACTATTGTTTATTTTCTTTCAGTTTTATGCGTATGGATGTTTTGCCTGTATGTGTGTCTGTGTACCACACATGCGCCTTGTGCCCAAGGAGGCCAGAAAAGGGAATCAGGTACCCTGGAATAGGAGTTATAGCCAGTGTTTTTAGCTGATGAGTCATCTCCTCAGTCCTACTGTTTGTTTTGTTTTGTTTTGTTGTTTTTTTGGTTTTGGTTTTTGGAAACAGGGTTTCTCTGTGTAGCCCTGGCTGTCCTGGAACTCACTCTGTAGACCAGGCTCAGCTCAAACTCACAGAGATCTGCCTGGCTCTGCCTCCCAAGTGCTGGGATTCAAGGCGAATGCCACCAGCACCCGGCTCCCACTGTTGTTTTTAATGGAGAATGTCTTCTTGGGATTTTCTTCAGTATTTTTCCTATTGTTTACTTGTTGTTGAGGCAGGGGTCTCACTGTATAGCTTCACATTGCTTGGAACTCACTCTGTAGACTAGGCTGGCCTCACACTGGAGATTTGCCTGTCTCTGCCTCCCAGGTGCTGGATGGATTTGCAGGCATGTGCCTCTCCACCCAGCCTTCAGTCTTTTTTATAAGAATGACTGTACACTCCGGAGGTACAGCTTTTGTAATATATAACAGACACAGTATCCAAACAGTAGTGTGGAGAACACTAATGGGACTGTACTGGAGGGCCCAGCGTGTAGATGGGTAGTGTCACTGTAGGACTGCAGACTCATGGAGAGACAGAGTGTAGATGGGCAGTGTCACTGTAGGACTACAGACTCACGGAGAG